CTCTACTAAAGAAAATGGCATTTCTATTTCTGTGTTGCATTTGGAGAGTGCTGCTTATTTCCTGTCTGGTAAAACATTGTCAGCAAGACAGGAAGAGAGGGGAAATCTCTCTAATGGAGCACCAGATAGCAGTAAAAAATGGCAGGTGTTATTATTCCCCACTCTGTCCAAAACTAGAATATACTTGACATATACTTTAATTCAGGGCTAAACAAATCCCAGAAGCCAGGTCCCCAATGTCCCTAGCTCATGGCTGGACAAATCCCAGGAGCCAGGTCACCAATGCCCCTACCTTCGGGCTGGACAAATCCCAGGAGCCAGGTCACCAATGCCCCTAGCTCCGGGCTGGACAAATCCCAGGAGCCAGGTCACCAATGTCCCTAGCTCCGGGCTGGACAAATCCCAGGAGCCAGGTCACCAATGCCCCTAGCTCCGGGCTGGACAAATCCCAGGAGCCAGGTCGCCAATGCTCCTTAAAAATTACAGGTGTTCTTATCATTCCCCACTCGGTCCAAAACTGGAAGAAAAGTTTGGCTTGACATATACCGTATATACTGGAGTATAAGCCGAGTTTTTGCCCCCCCCCCCTCAGCTTATACTCAAGTCAGCGTCTCGAGAACTGAGGAAAGATCTATATGTACATGTACTATATACTACATATAGAATGCACTGCAACAATAGATTTACAATTATCCTCTGCTAATATGAATGGGTTAAATGATCCGTAGTACATGATATGTAGCCCTGTACCCCCTTTTCCACTTACAGAGCTAGGTTATTGTTTTTCTTTGAAATAAATATTCATGTAATTTTATTGGTATCTATCTTCATTTTGTACATTTACCAGTAGCTGCCTCATTTCCCACCCTCGGCTTATACTCGAGTCAATATTTTTTCCCAGTTCTTTGTGGTAAAATTAGGTACCTCGGCTTATATTCAGGTCGGCTTATACTCGAGTATATACGGTACTTCAATTCAGGGCTGGACAAATCCCAGGAGCCAGGTAGCCAATGCTCCTTTAAAATTACTATACAGCTGGTGCTTAACTTTTGAGGTTTTCTCTAGTTGTTGTCAATGGAGCTGACTCCTGAACACAATCCTGCTGGCTCCTGAATTGGAGAGACTGGTTCCAAAATTCCATACTCATTTGTCCACCCCTGCTTTAAATAATTTATTTCAGATGAATCAGCAATTTTTAAAAATATCCTGATAGTTAAAGGTGAGCGGTGCCCTTACGTCAGGTGTACTCATGGAACCCTCTGGAGCATTCACTTTAATCTTATCATGCTTCTACTCTGTTGTAAAGCAAAGTAGCCATAAAATAATTCACAACACCTGCCTCTTGTCCTATGTCACAGAAATGGCTGACAGCTATATAAAGTTAGAGTACACATATACAACATAAAAAGAAAAGAAAAAACTGAATACACTAATGTCCTGCATCTTCATGACCAATTGTATTATCTGGAGGAAAGCAGGAAAATGTAACAAATCTACTAATCCAGCACCGCTCTGTGTTGAGCTGCCAACAGTAATATTTTGAATGCTGACTAAATAAACATAAGAAAAAATCATAAACAAATAAAGAAAACCACACCATTGACAGTCACTGTAATTTTACAGGGGTGGACAAATGAATGTGGAATTCAGGAGCCAGTCTGTCCAATCCAGGAGCCAGCAGGATTTTTTTAGGAGTCAGCTTCATTGACAACCACTAGAGAAAACCTCAACAGTTAGGCGCCAGATGTAATGTGTAAGGTGCATTGGTTACCTGGCTCCTAGCATTTGTCCAGCCCTGCAGTAATATTTGTAACCATATCCCTGTTAATAGACACTGATGAGATGATCTCATGTGTATTGAGTCGGACAGATACCTGCAGGATGACCATTGATCAGGCAGGATACAATCCCTGATATATACTGCCCCCCGCCTGATCTTTTTTGCTCCTTCCAATTCTCCTCTCCATAGTAATAAACAGGAACTCGGGTTTGAATTTATGGAAGTGCTGACCATTGGGCCTGGGCAACCAATCATACTGATTTATATGGATATATTTAAAGTAACTATAGACATAAAACTGCATTTTCCATGCCCACTTTAGAACAAAGGTTCGACATAAACGACTTCCTCTACAGAGAATTTCTACATTTGCAAAATACACACGAGATGATATCAGATATTGCTGAAACATTGCTCCCAGGTACAGGAAATGTGTATTATGTGTGATCATTGTTAACGTGCAAAAATGGAAAACGGCCAAACAAATTCCAATTCAACACATTGATTTTTCCAGTCACAGCGGTCTGTCGCAACCACGGCTTTACTAAAAATTCAAATGATTTATTATCTGAGCTGAATAAATGACATCAAACTGCAAACAGACACCTTATTTGAAAATATTAATTTCATAATAAATCATAATAAATCATATAATAAAATGGGCACTTTATGTCTATGGATAAAGGTTCATTACCTGGGGAAGGAGAGCGCAGTCTCAAGAGACCTCCATTTATTAGGGAAAGTTTATTTTTGGCATTTTTTTTACTTTCAAAGTATTTGATTGAATTTTACATTTGAATTGAATGTATAAAAGTACAAATCGGGGGACAGTAAAAAATAGACCAAAATCAAGTGTCAATAATCCAGTGAGACAGCCCTTAACCTCCATAATCTCGTAAAAAGTGCCTAGAGGCACTACTGAGGCAAGGCTACTGAGACCTAAAACGCCAGTGAAAGGTTCATGGAAGCACCACAGATCAGAGGACTAACAATGGCCAGTCCCAACTATTTTTGGCTTTTATTAAGAATCAGTTTGGACTTCCAGTTGCTATACTTAACAAGTCCAAGGAAACATTATATACATCGGCCTCTTCAACTTTTTTTTTACCATGAAGGAACCTTTGAAATAGCTTTCAGGTCTCACCAAATTATTATACCTACAACTTGTAGTACATTCGAGTAATCAGTAGTTGTAAAGAGTTTTAAATAGAAATTAATTTAAAGGAAAAATACCCCCACCAACTTTTACATGATAACATTATATTCACAAATTATCACGAGACAAAATAAATCATAATGCCCAGAAAAGAAACATAGAAAATGAAAATTGTAGTGACCCTTTACATTGGTGGTCAGTGTGGAGGAAACCCCTTACATTGGAGGTCAGTGTGAAAGTGATCTCACTGGTGGTCATTGTAGAAGTGACCCCTTACATTGCTGGTCAGTGTAGAAGTGACTCCTTACATTGCTGGTCAGTGTAGAAGTGACTCCTTACATTGCTGGTCAGTGTAGAAGTGACTCCTTACATTGCTGGTCAGTGTAGAAGTGACTCCTTACATGACTGGTCAGTATGAAATTACCCCATTGGTGGTCAGTTTGGAAGTGAACCCTTACATAGGTGGTCAGTGTACAAGTCACTGCTTATACTGGTGCCCAGTGTGGAAGTAACCCCATTGGTGGTCAGTGTGGTAGTGACCTTTTACATTGCTGGTCAGTGTGGTAGTAACACATTACATAGGTGGTCAGTGTGGGAGAAACCCCATTGGTTTTCATTGTGGAAGTGACCCCTTAAATAGGTGGTCAGTGTAGAAGTGACCCCTTACACAGGTGGTTAGTGTAGAGGTAACCCAGTACATAGGTGGTCAGTGTAGAGGTAACCCAGTACATAGGTAGTCAGTGTAGAAGTGACCCCTTACATAGGTGGTTAGTGTAGAGGTAACCCAGTACATAGGTGGTCAGTGTAGAGGTAACCCAGTTCATAGGTGGTCAGTGTAGAGGTAACCCAGTACATAGGTGGTCAGTGTAGAGAAGTACATGGGTGTTTAGTGTAGAGGGAACCCAGTACATAGGTAGTCAGTGTAGAAGTGACCCCTTACATAGGTGGTTAGTGTAGAGGTAACCCAGTACATAGGTGGTCAGTGTAGAGGTAACCCAGTACATAGGTGGTCAGTGTAGAGGTAACCCAGTACATAGGTGGTCAGTGTAGAGGTAACCCAGTACATAGGTGGTCAGTGTAGAGGTAACCCAGTACATAGGTGGTCAGTGTAGAGGTAACCCTGTGCATCAGTGGTGAGTGTAGGAAGGAGATGAATTTGTCACTGCTCTCTCCTGAAGGAACCCCTAAAAACCTGTGGAGGAACCCTGGTTGAGAAAGGCAGAAACCATGACAGGCTGAAGACACAAAGATCTCTCTATAGATGATATTGATCTTCTCCATTAAGTAGAGAAACTCACAACACAAAGTTTAGTAACAACAAATGGCATGATGATGCCAGTCAGCCCCAAGTGGCACCCACCTCGGTCATGACCCGGTCTGCCATGGTGTTCTCCTCATCCTTGAAGATGATGTCGGGGTTGTAGTTCAGCACCAGCTCCCGGAACCGTTCCGAGTCCCGGCGGATTTTGCCCTCGGTCTTGCCGCTGGCACCCAGGGTCTTTTCCGGCACGTTGGGCACGAACTGTTTATAGCGAAGGGGCACCAGCTTGCGCATGTACCGGCGCCGACCCACTGGACCCCGGCCAGGTCCACAGCACTGGACCGGGACCAGTAGGAGCCACAAGCAGGTGACTAGCACCAAGACCCGGCCTGATGGCATCTCCCGTCTGGTCACTGCATGCCGGGCATCCCAGGGAGGCACAGCCCTGGCCGATCGGCTACCCCAGCTTGCTCGCAGATGTGGCCAGGCAGTATCCAGGTAGGTCCCTGCTATAACGTGTGTAGCTCTTCTAGATGTACCAGGTAAGTTGGCACCTGCTGTCCAGGTAAGTGCTCCTGGCTCTGTAGGGAGTTATTGGCAGCAGCAGATCTATGCGATGTGTCCAGCAAGGGATGACAAGCTCACGTTGAAATGGGATTCCAGTCAATGAACTCGTCCAGGTACATGGAGAGGTAGGTGCCCATGGAGGAGGGAAGGGCAGCCAGTGTCAGATGGTAAGTACAGCCTGCTCTCCTGGTGACACACCTCTGAACCGAGACTCTACCCTGGCACCTGTCATATCCTGTCACACTACATGTCCTATGCTGGCAGCAATCCTCTGTGTGCCCTCTGTGCCCCTCCGCTGCTCTATTCCATCTTCCGGACTCTCTTACTGCACCGGCTAATTGCCTCTCCCCGGCCATCGTCAGCTTCATATAGGGACAGGGACAGTGAACGTGCACAGCAGTCAGTCCCAGATAGCAAGAAATTGTGCTGCAAGTTTGAAAATGACTTGCTAAACTATTGCAGACTTGCCAAGCTTCACAATTTTGTTGCACAATTACAGCAAGTCTGCATTGCAAGTCTCCAGACCAGCGAGCTTGCAGAGCTCTTGCAAAGGCCTGCAGGACTCTTGCTGTAGACTTGCCAAGCAAATTTGCTACAAATTCAAAAAGTATCAACTAGAACTTGTGCTGCAAGTCTTCTGCAAGTCTACAACTTGCCAGGAATATGTGCAGCAAGTTAACAAAATTACAATTTAACCCCGACACAAGTTTGTGGCAAGTTATCCTTGCTATCTGGGGTGTAGAGTTAACCCAGTACATAGGTGGTCAGTGTAGAGGTAACCCAGTACATAGGTGGTCAGTGTAGAAGTGGCCCCTTACATAGGTGGTCAGTGTAGAGGTAACCCAGTACATAGGTGGTCAGTGTAGAGTTAAGTGTAGAGGTAACCCAGTACATAGGTGGTCAGTGTAGAGGTAACCCTGTACATCAGTGGTCAGTGTAGAGGTAACCCTGTACATAGGTGGTCAGTGTAGAGGTAACCCAGTACATAGGTGGTCAGTGTAGAAGTAACCCAGTACATAGGTGGTCAGTGTAGAGGTAACCCAGTACATAGGTGGTCAGTGTAGAAGTAGCCCAGTACATAAGTGGTCAGTGTAGAAGTAACCCAGTACATAGGTGGTCAGTGTAGAGGTAACCCAGTACATAGGTGGTCAGTGTAGAGCTAACCCAGTACATAGGTGGTCAGTGTAGAGGTAACCCAGTACATAGGTGGTCAGTGTAGAAGTAACCCGGTACATAGGTGGTCAGTGTAGAGGTAACCCAGTACATAGGTGGTCAGTGTAGAGGTAACCCAGTACATAGGTGGTCAGTGTAGAGGTAACCCAGTACATAGGTGGTCAGTGTAGAGGTAACCCTGTGCATCAGTGGTGAGTGTAGGAAGGAGATGAATTTGTCACTGCTCTCTCCTGAAGGAACCCCTAAAAACCTGTGGAGGAACCCTGGTTGAGAAAGGCAGAAACCATGACAGGCTGAAGACACAAAGATCTCTCTATAGATGATATTGATCTTCTCCATTAAGTAGAGAAACTCACAACACAAAGTTTAGTAACAACAAATGGCATGATGATGCCAGTCAGCCCCAAGTGGCACCCACCTCGGTCATGACCCGGTCTGCCATGGTGTTCTCCTCATCCTTGAAGATGATGTCGGGGTTGTAGTTCAGCACCAGCTCCCGGAACCGTTCCGAGTCCCGGCGGATTTTGCCCTCGGTCTTGCCGCTGGCACCCAGGGTCTTTTCCGGCACGTTGGGCACGAACTGTTTATAGCGAAGGGGCACCAGCTTGCGCATGTACCGGCGCCGACCCACTGGACCCCGGCCAGGTCCACAGCACTGGACCGGGACCAGTAGGAGCCACAAGCAGGTGACTAGCACCAAGATCCGGCCTGATGGCATCTCCCGTCTGGTCACTGCATGCCGGGCATCCCAGGGAGGCACAGCCCTGGCCGATCGGCTACCCCAGCTTGCTCGCAGATGTGGCCAGGCAGTATCCAGGTAGGTCCCTGCTATAACGTGTGTAGCTCTTCTAGATGTACCAGGTAAGTTGGCACCTGCTGTCCAGGTAAGTGCTCCTGGCTCTGTAGGGAGTTATTGGCAGCAGCAGATCTATGCGATGTGTCCAGCAAGGGATGACAAGCTCACGTTGAAATGGGATTCCAGTCAATGAACTCGTCCAGGTACATGGAGAGGTAGGTGCCCATGGAGGAGGGAAGGGCAGCCAGTGTCAGATGGTAAGTACAGCCTGCTCTCCTGGTGACACACCTCTGAACCGAGACTCTACCCTGGCACCTGTCATATCCTGTCACACTACATGTCCTATGCTGGCAGCAATCCTCTGTGTGCCCTCTGTGCCCCTCCGCTGCTCTATTCCATCTTCCGGACTCTCTTACTGCACCGGCTAATTGCCTCTCCCCGGCCATCGTCAGCTTCATATAGGGACAGGGACAGTGAACGTGCACAGCACCCTCCCCTAGGCACGCCCCCCCCCTTCTGGTCCGGCCAAGGCCAGGCGCGCCCCCGCCTGCCCAGTGCACGAGCAGGTCAGTAGGGCTCTGCCAGTCTGGTTGCTTTTAAGACACTTTGCAAAGCTGCTGGACTTATTCTATTTGAATAATCAAATACAACATTAGCCCCAGAGCTGTAAAAGATCAAAGCACTGCAATGAAGTGAAATGAGTCTTTGGTCCTTTAAATTATACCTTCTAAAAATGCTTGCTGCCTGGCTGCTGACTTTCTGACTTCAGTACTGTCTTAGACACTGACCTAGAAGCCTTTCTCTGCATGCTTGCTCCAGCTAAGTGACTCAAAGTATTAAAGCCAGAGGATCAACATGACAGCCAGGCATCTAGCAATTTCAGAAGAAGTGCCTGGCAATGGCATCCCCCATGTTTCTCATGGCAGGGTCATTGGGCAGCTTTTACCAGAGTTTCTCAGGGTGCACATACACTGTGCAAACTTTTTGAGGAACCGACCAAAATTCGCACAATGTGTGGCGCTTTTCGGCACCCTTTCAGTTGGCATCCCTTGATCAGCTGATCAGAGGAGCTGGCATACAGCGGGATTCCTCCATCCACACACTCCTAAGGGTTGATGGAGGACTCTGCTCTTTTTTTCACGCTCAGCCCGCGGGTTGAATGAGAAAAATAAAGCAGTGTATGGTCAGACTTAATAAGTGATGGTGTATTGTGGAAATAGTTTGGGGGAAATATATATAGGGCTGTATTTAGTAAGAATACCCAACAGATGAGCTACTGTCACCAGCACACCGGAATAAAGTATTTGAAAAGCATCTTTGTTAATGCATGCACATCATGTCACAAAGAAAGCAAACTTTTGGGGCCACTCGGGGTCCCTTCATCAGGCTCATTATGACAGCCACTTCAGCACCCATTTCTAAGGGCAAGACCGGTAAGCAGCGCAGTGGTATATACATTGGACCAGCCAGAATACCTGGCACCACTATGTCCGTCTAGGTCTCGGCACATCAAACTCAGGTTAGGTGACAACGTTACACTACAGAAAGATATGACATTACAAAACACACTTCTCTTGTCACTAGCCAATGAATAAAATACACATTTGAAAGGAAAACTACAATGATCACACTAGAAATGGCGGCTAGTGCTGCCCCAGTGCAAAGAGTTCTGCTTTAAAAAGATATATTTTTTAAAGCAGAACTCCAGGAAGAGCCTGGTACAAAAATAACAAAGTTATAGTCACCTGAACCTTGGATCCAGCATTGCTGTGACAGCTCTCCCTACTGCCTGTCTCCTTCTCCGCTTGCAGCTATGGTATGTCCCTCTGTGTCCTCTCATTCTATACACTGTGTAGAACATGATGACTCAGGGACCTTAGATGAGGTTTGCTCTCTCTCCAGAATTTGTTCTCTCTGGGGGACAAAAATAAATGGCACTGCAATGCAGCAACAAAAAATTGGCACCACAATGCATCAATGTATGCTATGTGTGTTACCACAAAAGCCATTAATCCAGCCTTAGGAATATATACCTCCTTTTTACATCCTGAAAGCAAAGTGCTAAAATAAGTTTCGTATGAGAAACTGACAGGTGAATGTAAGCATCTGGGAGCAATAGCCAGACTGCTATTGGCTGTTGCAATTTGCAATAACCAGTAGGAGGTTGGCTATTGAAACCCCGCCCACTGAGCAGAGAAGCGGACCTGAAAGAGAAAGTAGCTGGTCTCGCCTAGGGCGCAAAAATAGTCTAGCACTGGCCCTGCCTGCCACCAGGGCCGGATTCAAGGCTAGGCCACCGAGGGTGGCACTAAGCAGAGGGGCGGCACAGGTTTGAAGTCGCCAGACGCCCGGAATATGGAGTTCCGGGCGCCGGGCGGTATTTTGTTTTCTACATTTAGCTTTGCTTTGAACAAGCAGAGCTAAATGTAGAATAGGAGAAATCACCTGTTTCTTTACAAGTAATCTCGGCGATGTGGCCGAGATAACTTGTAATTAGACTGCCGGTCCATCCTCCCCCCGCCGCCCCCCTCCCTCCACTGTACTTACCTCTCTCCATGCTGCGTCCTCCCGGCTCCGTCCTCGCCGCCGCCTTCAGAATGGAGAGCTGTAAGCAGAGCGGCAGGGTTAAAAGTAACCCTGCAGCTCCTTGTATATAGTGAGAGGGGAGAGCAGTCTTCCCCTCTCAGCTGTCACAGGACTTCCAGCACAGTGCTGTGCTAGAACTTCTGTATTGGAGCTGGCAGGGTCAATAAAGAGAACCTGTCACCTCCAAATGCTATCACACAGTGACTTGTTAGCTCCTGTGTGATAGCAATAAAGTTAGGTGAAAAAAAATCAGAGTGCCCCTTATTTTTATAGTTAATGTAAGGGGGCACTCTGATAGGGACAACCAATGTAAGGGGCAATAATTAGTTTTCCCCATTA